TGAATTAATTTGCAACTTTGGCAAATGAGTCCTCACACAGTAGCTTTGCACCACCCAAGCCTCTGTTCTGGAAAACTTGTTTGGTTCTAAAAGGCAGGGAAGAAAAGCCCATCCTTGTTTTGCGCTAGCAGAGTGAGCTTTTTGTGAAGGAAACACTGGATACACTGTGCTTATCAGAGCCAACATCTGAAGAGATAAAGGCCTGATTCTTACATGCATGCACATCAGTAGATTTCATCTGCCTCTCCTTCCCCTCTCCTCTCTATCAGTTAGAGGAAAGAGGACTAAGGTATTTTGCTGCCTGATGCAAATATGTGTGGTGTTCCCAAAGATAATGTTAGACTAGTCAGGTTATTTTGGCACTTGAGTTAGAAAATCTTAAAGACACACTCCCGCATCCTTTCTGACAGTAAAAACACAATATTAACACATTATGCAACTATTGGCTTCCCTTTCAAGATACTGTATTGTAAAAATACCATGTCATAAGAAGCAAGACACATTAACATCTATAGAAGTGGCCCCCCCATAAGACCATTAAATCCAGAATCTAAACTTAGTTAGATGCAACACTAATTACATCATGGTAGCGCTTGGGGGCAAGAAATGTGTGCTGAATTTTTGAAGGTAGGAGTGGCTAACTACAATTTGAAGGAAGCGATGTAATTTCAAGGAGAAAGGCAGGGTTAAAATATAAATAAATAAATAAATAAATAAATAAACAAACCTTATATGTTAAAAAGTGCCCTCTCTCCCAATAATGCTGCGAAGTCCAAAATCTACAATTACTTTGATGTTACACTTCTCTATGTTTTCTAGCTTTGGAAGCTGAACTTGTTAACAATAGTGAAAAGTACCAGCTCTGTGAATAGGTAGCTTAAAAGTGAATTCTCAATGTTGCGCTTATTAAGAGATTATGGTGCCTCTGTGTGAACCGGCACTGTCCTCACCCTCAAATATGGTATTCACAAGGCTCACCAACAGGAAAATAAGTTTAATTGCAGCCTTTTTCCTTTGCACGGCTAATCCCTCTCCACAAAAATACATCTAAGTAGTTACAATGCATTTCCTTGCCCTGAAAACAATGGAACTGGTGCAGATGGGTGGTAACACTAATACTGTACATTGTTCCCATTTTACAGATCATAAATGGAGGCTGAGAGAAAGTGAAAAGAAAATGGCAATTTAGCAGTCTGTAAGCTGACAGATCATGTTGTGGAAGTTTATGATAACAGCCTTCCTGAGATTCAATCAATCAATCAATCTATCTCTCTATGAGGGAGAGGATTTTATTTTTTTCAAATTAAATTAAGTTGGTTAGGGATTGTCCTCGCTTTCCCCCCTCACATATGTATGTACATTTTTTCAAAAGGGTAGATCATTCAAATAGGTAATACTGCATCATGTCTCTCTGTGGCTTGTGTAATTTGGCTTTCAAACCAACCACTGTTGTCACAGTGTCTGCTCAGTTGTCTTATGAGAGAATCAGTGTCTCAGAAGTGGAGTCAGCTCTTTAGGGGTTTGGCTGCACAGTTTCCGTTCATAATTGTGTTGTCTTTACATTCTACGTAGTATTTATTCGTAGTTTTTGTGGGTATTTTAAACCTTTTAAGCTGCTCTGAAGGCCCTCAGGACAGGAGCACAGTAAAAATAAATGCCTAGAAATAAACAAATCATAATTATAATAGTTGGTAAGTTCTTGTAGACTTGTGATTTTGCATCCAGACAAACTGCAAATTATGGGTTTCCTCAGTTATAAATGACCCCCCACTTGGTCTAAAATTCTGACTAAGCAGACTAAAATGGTTTGGCCCCAGATCAAGTTGGCCTGGACATCTCCTTCTGTGCTGCAGTGAAGGTGAGGGAAGTCAAAGCCAGAACTTCTGTTAAGCACTTTTATTTTTATCATCAAATGTGAGGCTTGTCTTTATTTATTCACAGCTCGGCCTTTCCAGTGGGAAGCCAGCTCGGTTAAGAGCTGCTTTGATATTTTCCTGCCCTTTTGAAGTTTGTTTGCTCATGAGTGGCTTTGCGAGGGTGCTTATAACCAAAGCCCAAACTGCATTATTAAATCATTTTTTTGTCGACCCACAAGGCAGTGGCACACAAGGTGAAGGCAAACTTTTGCAGTTTGTAATAGCAGGTTTGACGTGCAACCACATTCTGTATGCCAGATGGTTCTTCTTTAGGATGCCAGTCCTCCATTGGAAGGGGCTGTCCATTCCGAGATTGGTTTAAAGACCAAGACCCATATGGAGGGATATCAGGTGCCTTGACATTATCCATCCAAAGTTAGTAATTCCTGGGTAGGAGATTTGCCTGGCACACAGGTCATCAGGGGACAACCTTCCCAACTCAAGTGAGATGCATTGCAATTCTGTTTAAATTACGGAACTCCTTCCTAATTTTACACAGGCGCAATAAATCAGCATAAAGAATGTTGTGGAATTGATGCCTCTCTCATCCTCCTTTTGTAGGATTCATGGAGTGGTCACGCCATGCCAGGTGTCTCGAGGTCTTGTCTCCCAACAGGGCAGCTTCCCTCACCTTTTGTAGCCTTGCTCAGCTAGCCGACCTTACAGAGTTGTCGTGAAAAGGACAAGAGTTCCTTGGAGAAGAGACAGGTTATAATCTTCTAGTAAACAGAACAATGGAAATCGTTCTTTCCAAAAACTCCGCCCAAGCCATGTTGAGCTGGAGACCTAGTGAGACGTCCCAGCAGTTTTTCTTAACTGCTTCTACAACTTAGGGGGCTACCTTCACTCCTGGTAGCCCCCCCCAAGTCATGAAAAATTGTCTCGTGAAAATTAGCCTCCTTGTCCTTAAAAAGGACATTCTGATTTCCCCTATCATTTCATAAAAACATTTATATATTTTACACCTTATTGGCTGTAAAAGTATTTTGGGTGCAGTATTTGAAAAACAGCCACATACACATCTTTCAAATCAAGGACACAGGGCTTTCCTTAAACCAACACAGAGCAGCTTTCCTCTTCATGCTTGACCACACATTTTCTCTCACATCTCTGCAGAACATCTCAGTACGGTTTGACGTTCAATCCCGAATTGCTAGGGGATGGAGTGATATTGCAGAAAAAAATTTTTAACTGCTTTGTGAGGCTTCATTCTCCCATACCTCAGCTGAGATAACAAGGCTGGTCTGGGCAGTGGGCAAGGGCTCACATGACAG